TTTTCATACGAAATGAAGGTCCCTCTAACAATATGTATATATAGTTCCATATCAAAACCGGGTTTTCTGAAATTCGTTGATATTTTATAACACATACATTATAAATTATTCTTAATATATATAGCAGTGCATTCGTATTTAGTTAGTAGAACTTTATACCCCATAAATTTAAAATTAAGTTTATGTGAGTTCTAAAGCTCTCTGGTCATATTCACGAAAAAAATGGCATCGCATTTCGATTATGCTAAGGTTTATTTAAATGCTAAAAATTCTGGGGAACTGTACTTTTCTAAATTTATTGGTGGTAAATGAGTCAACTATATTTTGACTCAACTAATCGTGCTGGAGTGTCTGTCTGATCCGGCACATTGTCAATGAATGACTGTCTTTTCTAACTTCTCCATGACCTTATTTTACTCGCCCAGTTAATGGATAGATGCTTACAGCTCAAGACTCGTACATCGCGCACGGAATCGTTTTCCCGAACAAATAAATATTTTTGCTTCATAGTAGCTTAAAAATGTGAAATTCACTCTTCGTTGGAAAATTAAAATGTCATGACTTTATCTTGGTTCGCAGATCTGTATCAGGTTATCGATTGTACACTTTATAGATTCAGAACGCTTCCAGAATACAAATAGCTGGAAGCCCTACATATCTGCTTATATCCATCTGACCACAAGCCCTGTTTCGCAATCACAAGTTCCTCTCTACTCATCTTCTGGTCCAGCCTCGGTTCGGTCGGACTGTTTGGCAGCTGGCCTCCGAAACGTCGAACCAGCCAGCCCTGCGTATCCTAGCGCCCGCAATTTCCGCCGTGTTTTAAACGGCTCAACCTTCAGTCCCCGAACTAACGCACCTGTACATTTGCGTCCAGCCCTTGCGCCTTCAGCAAACCGAGAGACGAGTCTTTCTCGTCGGTGGCTGCGCACCACCTGCGTTCTACCCGTCCGAGCTGATGCGAGCCCAAGAGTCTCGGGTGTGGATACTGCTGCTTGTCCTGGGGGTGACATCTTGAGGCCTAAGCAGTCCTTTCGAAAGAATTGGTTGCGTTCGAGCGTGATGACGATACCTACAGATGCAGTAGGCCCTACTTCAAGCCAGTTGGATACAGCTGGATCTTCCGGATCGATGTCGGCCAGGATAGGGCTGGGGAGTCGATGTGAACGAGCCGGTCCACTCAGGGCGGTGCCAGTAAGTCGTAACAGGTTTAGACGCTAAAGGACTCGTGAAAGAAT